TTGATTTCTCCATCATTTTTCTTATAGTGATTGTATTTCCAAGTTTTAGGATAGTTCCGTCTCATGTCTTCCATCCCCAGCAGTGTGCAGTCATGTGCTTGCTGTTTTCACCAACAAGACTGCATTCATGACAGTGGTTCCATAGGCGATATCATGGAGTGACATGGTGGCAGTCTTGATTTGTGCAAGTACACTCTGATGTGCACACCATGACAGAATCACTGAGTGACATGTTTCAGGCCATATCCAGTGACTGTATGTCACATTTTGGTTCTAAATGCCACAGCATTCATTCATTCACTTTTGGTAGGTTTAATCAAGTGATGTATGGTACTTAAGAGTGCCCTAGGCACATGCCCTTACTTTATTGACTCATTGAACAAATAACCCATCAGGAGCCAGATGGGCCATCATGAGATATATTTGTTCAGACCAGTCCTCTGCTTGCAGAGAACAGCTATATGGTGTAGGGGAAAATCCGGTAAATGCATCACTTAGGCACATTGGATAGCATCTTCCCCAGTGGAAGAAAAGCAGCATGGGGTAGGGTCATGAAGCAACTAGGGTGGCATTGCAGCTGTTTGTCAGGTCATTGGCTTGGGGTTTCTGAGATGTGTCATTTGTACACACTTGATGATGATCACAGCAAAGCGGGGAGAGTGTTTCAGCAGAGGGGATCACTAGAGCAAAGGTCCCGAGGCAGGAGTCACTGGCAAGTCCAGGAAGAGCAGAGCCAGTGTGAGTGAGCAATAGCTGGTAATAGTCAAGGAGGGAGCAAGGGGGTGGGCTGTGTAGGCCACTATAGGGGCTTTTGATTATTATCATGCAGCTTTTTAAAAAGACCCATTTTTGGTTTCTAGAAGCATTGAGCAGAAAAAGAGTCCCCATATTCTCTCCCTCCATCCCCAGCTCTCCTGATTATTAACATCTGGTGTGAATGACATACCTGTTAGAACTGGTTGAGTAATACTGACTTATTATCAGCATCTAGTTTTCTGCTGCTACAACAGTACCATGGACTGGTGGAAGGACAAACACTGAAATTTATTTGCTCAGGTTGCTGGAGGCTTGCAAGTCCAAGGTCAAGGGACCACATCTGCTAAGGACCTTCATGCTGCATCACAACATGGCAGAAGGGCAAACACACCCTCAAGAGACAGAGGGCAAATCAGGCCAAATTGATGCTTTTTATTAGGAACCCATTCCTGTGATAATGACAAGAATCAGTGCACGAAGGCAGAGCCCCCATGACCACACACCTGCTTAACAGTCCTGCCTCCCAACAGCGGCAGTGGCAGTGGCAGTGCATTTTCATCATGAGCATTGGAGTGGACATTCCGATCACAGCAATGAACTGAAGCCCACGGTTCCTATGATAGTTCATCTTGTACATTGCTTGGTCGTGATAAATGTACAATGACATATCCACTTTATAGTATTGTATAGCACAGTGTCACTGCCCTAAAATCCTCCGGCCCCTTACGCTCCCTCCCTTCAGCCCTAGACAACTACTGATCTGTCTCCACAGCTTTGTCTTTTCCAGAATGTTATATATTTGAAATCATATAGTTTTTCCCACTGGCTTCTTTCAATATACATTTAAGGTTCCTCCATCTTTTCATAGTTTGATGGTGCACTTCTTCTTCTTTTTTTTTTAATCATTGAATAACATGTTGTTTGATATACCATTATTTGTTTATCCATTCATATCCTGGTAAATTCCAAGATTATGAGTAAAGCTGATAAAGACATCTGCTTACAGATTTTGTGTGGACCTAAGTTCTTAAAAAACTTATTTGGGGGGCTGTGGCTGTGGCTCAGCAGTAGTGCACTTGCCTGGCATGTGTGAGGCACTGGGTTCTATTCTCAGCACCGCATATAAATAAATAAAATAAAAATCTATCAACAACTAGAAGAATGTTTTTAAAAAAACTCATTTGGGTAAATACCAAGGGGCACAATTGCAGGCTTGTATGATAAAGACTACATTTAGCTTATAAGAAACCACCAATTGCCTTCCAATTGGCTGTACCATTTCGTATTTCTGCGGGCATGAATGTGAATTCTTGTTGCTCCACATCCTCACCAGCATTTGGTGTTGTCGGTGTTCTGGATTCTGTTCATTTAAATCTGTGTGTAGTGATACTGTGCTTTAACCTTCATCCCCCTGGTGATGTATAACAGGGAGCATCTTTTCACATGTTTACTTGTGCTATGGTTTGGGAAAGTGTCCCTCAAAGGCCCATGTGTTGAAGGCTTGGTCCCAGCCTATGGTGCTACTGGGAGATGGTATAGCCTTTTAACAGGTGGGGTCCTAGTGGGAGGAAGTCGAGTCACTGGGGCATGTCCTTGAAGTGGGTATTATGATCCTTGCCCTTTCTGCCACATGGTCCTGCCTTGCCACAGGCCTCAAAGTAATAAGAGCCAAATGACCATGGACTGAAACCTCTCAACCATGAGCCAAAGTAAATCCTTCCTCTTTATAAACTGATTTACTTCAGGTATTTGTTTCAGTAACAGAAAGCTGACTAACACACTTGGCGTCTACGAGTCTTCTTTGTTGTCTCTTCAGGTCTTTTGCCCTTTTTTTTTTTGGTGGTACTGGGGATTGAATCCAGGACTGCTCTACCACAAAACCATACCCCCAAATCTTTTTATTTTTTGAGACAGAGTCTTGCTACATGTTGAGGCTGGCCTTGAACTTGTGATTCTCCTGACTCAGCCTCCAAAGTTGCTGGCATTACAGGTGTGTATTGCCAAGCCTGGCTTCTTTTGCCCATTAATTTTTTTCCTTATTGTTAATTTTTAAGAATTCTTTATATTTAGGATACAAGTCTTTGGCTGTGTGTTTTGCAGATCCTTCTTTTACCAGTCTGTGGTTTGTCTTCTCATTCTCACAGGAATTGGCTTTTTCTCTGCATGAAAAAGTGTGGAACTTTGAAGGGTTTTGGGCAGAGAAGTGATGTGACTTCTGATTTGATGTATAAGCAAGCAGTGAGATACCTCAGTTATATGAACAGACTTCTTGTGTATATACTGGCAGCCTTATCTTCAACTAATGAAGGTTGTTTGTCTAAGTGGTTTTTAAAAATTTTATTTCCTCAAGTATGACTGCTGCGCATCTTATTGAAACTGTGCTCTATTTACTCAGGTCACATTCTGCCAATAACTTGAGTGTTGGGTGGCAATGAAGTTTCCTATCAGCTTTTGGCCACTTATTGATAATATGAAAGTCCCATTGGCTCTGAATTTTTTCCTGCAGGTTTTTTTTTATTTTTTCCTTAACCTCCTGCAAGCACCCTGGGCTAGTGCTGTTCTGCACCCTCCTCCTGGCTCTTGGCTATCCTCGCTAGGGCAAGGCTTACCTGCTATTTATAGAGATGTGCTTAGCCCTGGTGTCCTCTGCTGTTCCCAACCCCTTAGTTGTTTCTTCCCTAGCGAAGGCCTCCGTTTTGCTTCACTGGATCCTCCGCACAATGTGCCAGTGCTCTCTGCACTCCTTCAGTGACCTCTCAAACATGGACCAAAATGGAACTCTTCCCAAGTGGTCATGTCCCATCTTCTGTAATATGGCTCTGAGGCTTCTCCTTGCCATAAATGCAGCTTCTTGAGCAGTTTAAAAAGCACAGATAGGTTCTTCAGCTGGGAAGAATTGGAACAAAGGCTACTGCCTGGAGTGCCCAGTCACAGATGGTGTCACTGTGTGTGCAGGGGTGTGTGGGAGAGTCCTCAGAAGTGAATCTGAGTAGCAGTCAAACCAAATGGGAAATGGCAGGGCAGCCATCAGCAGTCCTGAGACATCTGAGAACAAAATTTAAATGTGGAATGCCATCAGGGACTGCTGGAGAAGGGATGTTCCCTTGTTCCAGTAACAGAAAGCTGACTAACACACTTGGCATCTACGAGTCTTCTTTGTTGTCTCTTCAGGTCTTTTGCCCTTTTTTTTTGGTGGTACTGGGGATTGAATCCAGGACTGCTCTACCACCAACCCATACCCCCAAATCTTTTTATTTTTTGAGACAGAGTCTCAAACAGCATGTGTGTGAGGTATGCCTGGTCAGTGGGGATGCATGTGCTCACAAGGTGGGCCTCCCTGCACCTAGGGTGCTCACACTGTTGCCACCAGCACACACGGTAAGGACCCACTCTTCCATCGAAGGCCACAGGCCTTCTCCACGTATTCTTCAACAGTGGGTCTTCAGAAATGGAACCATCAGCTATTCTGAGATGGGATCAGGAGACAAAATCAACACCGAGGGAACAGAAGCCAAGTAGAATGGAGCCCAGGCAGCAAGTAATGAGTGGCTCAGATTCACAAAATGCTGTGCTGTAACTCCTGGGCTGTTTTTGTTAAGTTACAAGCATGACTGACATAGGAGGGTGACTGTGCCGTGATGAACAGGCAGAACTTTGAAGACAATCTCTGGCCACAAGACTTTGTCTGAGTTCTTATGAATTTCTAATGTTCTTTGTGTTCCTGAGTCGGGATCCTGCCATGCCTTCTGTCGGCTGAGCCGCTGCCCAATGTCGGCATCCCCAAGGGGCTGACCTCCAACCGTGGCAGCACCTCTGCCTTTCCAGTTTGCTTTCACTTGCCACCTAACGTGCAGCTCCCTGTGTTTATCTAGCATTACTGGGAAAACCTACAGCTTGTGGACAGATTTATTCTAGGTTATGTGATGGGTGCTTTATCCTTCAACATTTTCTTATCCATGTTTGGCATTGGCATGAATTTGGGACAGTTGCCACCAGCTCTGAAGGACTTCACATGCTTTTGGAGTCTGTGGGAACCAAGCCTCAGGGGATAGGAGTTAATTTAAGCAATGCAGCCTTGGTCATCTCCTCCATGTGTCACGTCTCTGGCATATCTGACTCTACATATTTGTAAATCTGGCCAGTTTTAAACTAGTGGAAAAAATTTTGTTCCTCCCTATGTGACTAGCACTCCATATAGGAGCTGGGTTTTGGGGTATGTTGAAGAAAGCAAGCAAAAGAAAGTGCACATTATTAAAAGTTTAATTGTCTTTCAGCAAACTACTGGGTAGTAGGCTATATACTTTTGAGAAGTAGTTTACTTATCTGATATTTAGCAACCAAATCTTTTAATTTTCTGCCTGATGCTTCATTTCTTTTCCAATGGATTTGGAAGACCTGTCCAGTGGATGGATGGCCAAGTGGGCTCCTTTCACTTGTGTTTCACTCCACTTCACAGCATGTCCTATGGAATAATAGGCAGAGAGCACAATGAAGAAAAGGAGACTGCAGTAGCCTAACTAGAATAAAGCAGTGACTACCATGTAATTGAATATTAGACAAGCCATTAAATGCTAAGTAGGCTTTTAAAGGTAAATTTAGGATTTCAAACCCAGCACTGCATTTTGGTAACCTAGAGATTTTACTTTAACGTAACCTAGAGATTGTATAGAGTTGTTGGTCCATTTTGTGGAAGCACTGCAGTCCATTTAATCTGCTTTCTAAATGGTTTCCTATCTTTGGAATTACATGCTACTCTATTTTCAGTTGCCACCAGGAAGCTCTGCAAGTTAGGGTCGCAGCAGAAAATAGATGGCCCCAAAACAGAGGCTGGAGTGAGTAATGAGACCATGTATGAAGTGAGGGCAGGGACAAGTAGAACCCTGAGATGGGGCAGTTTCCTGGAAGCCATTATGCCCCTAAATGTGCAGGGACTGGTGGGGAGAAGCAGGAAACTACCAGAGCTAGGAAAGCTGTAGCTGCAGGAGGGGCTTCCTAACGGGAGCTGTTGTCAGTAGAGGAACATGGTTGGCTTTCTGGGTGGAGGCTCTGATGTGCAGTGTTTGTGGATCTCTGAGGTATAAACACTTCCATTGTGGCTGATTTCAAGCTGCAAGGTGATGTTACTGAAAGCAGAGTAGGGGTGAGACACAGCCAGCTCTGTGAACCTATACCAGCACACAGCCAGTGCCACTTAGCAGGAGGTGCCCCTCCTTCCCAGCCATGGTCTCCTAATGGCTGAAACCCAAGGCCACAGTGCAGGGAGCCTGGGTTATGTGGCCCTCCAAGGGCAGCCTCCCAGAGCAGAGTGCACTAATGACGTATGCAGCATGTCATTCTGAGCAGTCATGTCACCACTAAGTAACAGACCAACCTGAAGTGTTTTCTATTACCTTTCCACTTGAAGGTTATCTCAATTGCTCTGTGATAAGTGACTTTGGTGTTGCATGTTGGTTAGGTTACTTGGTTGACTATTTAACAAGAGGTGCCTGTGGGTTGCCACTAGAGAGCAGATGTCTAATGGGGAGTTGAACTGTGCCCAAGTAGGTCATCATGTGATAGGTGCCACAGCCAGGATGCAGGTTCTCAAAGCAGTTGATTCTCTTCAGCTGGTTGATGAGGCTGTTGATGACAAAGACCTGGGGACCTTTGTTCTGTGGTAAGGAAGTTGTTATTCTAGTGGGAGAAACACCACTTTCTTACTTTCAGTTGGCATATACCACTAGTTCTTGAAGTCTGGTCCTGGTATCATTAGCATCTCCCATGAACTTGGAAGAAATTCAGATTCTTGGGTTCCACCTAAAGCTGTTCCTCCAGTTGATTCTGATGTTATTCCACACCAGTGGTTCTCAAATCCCACTGGAGATTGGAAGCAGGTGGGGGATTTCACACACACAAGACTGCAGTGAGAGCCACTGGGAACCAGGGCTGGTGGGGAGTTAGATGGAACTCTGTGGTTCTGTTGTCTTCATTATGGTTGCTAAGGCAGCACCAGGCCTGCTCATTCATTTACCTTGCTGATGCTGCCTGCCTTACTTCTCAAGCAGTTTGTCTTTAAACTATTTGGTACAGGTGATTGAGTCCAGGGACACTTTCCACGGAGCAACATACCTAGCCCCTTGTTATTTTGAGACACTGTCTTACTACGTTGCTTAGGGCTTCGCTAAGTTGCTGAGGCTTGCCTTGAATTTGTGATCCTCTTGCCCCAGCCTCCTGAGCTGCTGGGATTGCAGGTGTGTGCCACTGTGCCTGGCTCTCACTCTTTTTAAACACTTTCCAAGTCTGACTGGAAGAAGACAGCTGCCTTAATTGGCGCTTTGCAGTGACTCTGGGTGGAGTTGACTGTCCCTGGGCAGCTGTTGAACGCAGAAGGCAGCTGCAAAGGTTTCTAGAATTTGATCCTAGCATTGCCTTGAGATTATGTGGCCAATTTTCACGCAAGACACACCATTCCTCAAATATTAAGCATAATTTTATATTTCTAGGGGAAACTGCAATTGTTTGGAAAGCAGTCTTGGTCTGATTAGTTTTTAATGAAAAAACCTGGAGTTTATTATCAATGGAGAGTTTGGGACAGAACTTCTGGGAAGTTGGGCAGAGTTGGTGGTCACTTGAGTCCTAGAGGTACATGGAGGACAGCCCTTCCTTTCAGTTGTGAAGGCTTTGCCAATGGTGTGAATGGTCTTATGTGGCATTTTGTGGATGAGTTTCCATCACTTTTGGGCAAATACTTGCTGGAATTTAGGGTTTAAGTTTAACTTGGCAAGAAACTGCCAGTTCTTCAGGTAAAACAGTATGCTGTCAAGTCATGAATGAGAGTTCCAACTGTTTTCAGTCTTACCAAGAATGGATATTGTCTGCATTTTCCACATGCCCCATTCTGGTGGGTGTGTAATTTTAGCTGTGATTTTAATTTGCATTTCTGGGATAACTAATAATGTGCTCCCTGCACATCTTCTTTGATAAAGGACAGGACTTCTACCTGTCTTGTTCTGTATCATAATATTCCACTGTTTTTCAATGTAGTTTTACTCATGAATTAAGGTGCCCTTGACTAGGTACCTTTCTTGAACACTCCATAGACTTCTAATATGTCACACTTTGACAGGGTCTTGCTATGAGCTCAACTCATGAGCTCAAGTGAAGTCCTACCTTAGCCTCCTAACTAGATAACAGATGCACACCATCATGCCCAGCTTAAAATGTCACATGTTTGAATATGCAGTTCCACCAGCTTTTTCATCTACCAGGCTCGAGATCACATTTGGTGCTGGATAAGCCTCTAGCCCCACCCTGTCAGTAGTACTTCTGTGGTTCCAAGTGTGCCTCTGTGTGGCTGCACCTGCACCTGCATGTGTATTCTTGCCTCACTGAGGTCAGAGACCTTGTCTCACTCTGCTTTGCATTCCTAGTGCTTGTAACATGATCTGCTATGGAGTCAGGGCTCAAGAAATATTGCTGATAATTTGTAATACATTTGATTCTCCCAACATCTCAATGAGAAAGCCTGTTAGCCTCATTTCTTAAGGTGGAGAATAGGTATTATAAAATTATCTATTATACTTAGGTTTCACTGGGTATTTTTTTTTAAGGGTAAGGATCCAGAGGGGTCACATGACTTGTCCTAGATGACATATTAGAGAGCCAGGCACTACTTATTTACTATAAAGTTTGAATCTTTAATACAAGTTTTCCAAACAGGTTTGTTCTTTGAAGTAGCAAGCTATATGCACCCAGATCTGCATACAGGAAGACTTTAAGAGCTTTGTGGGCACTGCATGGTTTCCAGGGAGTCAATTTCCAGACCCTTGGCCTGCATATACTTATCTGCAGCTGACTGGTGTGAGATGGTGCCTGTGGTGTTGCCTCCTCTTCATAATAGCCTTCTCTCACTTTGCACAAAAAGGCAGACCTTTCACCCACTTGATGTCCTCTTAAGGTGTGGTGCTGCAAGATGGAAAACCTGAAGGCCACGTAACAAAGGGATAACTAGACATATCCAGGGTTCTGAGGTGTCAGTGACGGTTTTGCAACTCTAGGGTCTCCACTACTTAGTTTTCACATAAACTGAAGGAGACTCTAGTCAAGTTATTAAATAATGATTTAAAAACATTTATGATAGGTCATATCTGGATTTTGGCCATGCAATTCAGAAAGCTTCAGCTTTATTTTATTTTTAGGTGTTGGAGAATGAACTCATATGCTAATAAGCATGCATTCTGTGTGGGCAGTGTGCTCACCACTGAGCTACACCCGAGCTCCTAATTCAGAAGGCTTCAATGAATTAAGTTACATCACAAAATTACTTTCATATCCATGTGCTTATCTTTGTGAACAAAATTTCTCATGTGTGTAAAAAAGCCCCAGTCAGGAAAGCACTGATGTTAGACTACATCTCATTCTAGCAGAAAAGTGATAATTGTCCATGGGCAAATGAGTTAATTAAAAGAGGAAGCCCCATATTTCTCACTAAGATACACATTTCCAATTGTTTTGCTTTTTATATTTAATAATTATCAAAAACTATAGTATATCATTTCTATCATTTGTGTACTCATGATAGTTAAGTCAGAAGAAATATCTTAACAATGAGGTCCTTTCAGCTGAAAAATCTTAAGTGTAGAATAAATTCTTGTTACTGTGGTAGCTCTGTTCCATAGTTATCTCAATCACTGTATTCTCCATGACTGAGACATTGCTTCTAGGGGAGACACAGGATTACGTTTGTCTAAGAGTCTGGTGACAATACTTTGTCAATCAATCAATACATGATCTTGTTTTATGTTTTGTTTAAAGATGGCTAATATTTATTACAAACAGCTGTAGAGAGGATTTCTTTATAATGAACACAGTTTCAATTACAGCATATATAATATGCTCTACCATGGCTGTACTAGTTGAACTCTTCCACTGAGTCATATATACACACCATACATATACAGAATGCTCATAAAGACAGTAAGCAAAGCACTGTGAACACATACTATATGAAATGCAAATGAAGTTCTGAAAAAAGCACTGAGCAAGTTAGGCATTTAAAATTGTATAAAAATGTTAACAGTTTACTGTAGATGGAACTGCAGGAGGTGTGGTTTAACCCCAAGACCTTGGCTTGCCTGTGAAGACCAAATGGTGGACTGGTGGAACTTACCTGGAGAGAGGAAACGTCAAGGAGATGGGATGTTGTGATCCAGCAGTTCTATCTTTTGCATCTTTCCCTCTAAAATTGGCTAGAAAAACTGCTTCAGCTTTGTTTGCCTGTTTTCTCCTCAAATCTTTAAGCATTTCTGAATAAGGGACAAATGCAGTGGAGGTGAGGCGCTTAAATGTGAGACTGCGTTCAAGCATAGGGTCACATTCTTCCATGTCATTGAAAATTTTTTCCAGGGCAGAATTCCACTCTGATATTTTGGCTGCTGTAAGAGGAATAATTCTTGGAGTCATGGGCTGGCTGACATCACTATCTTGACTTTCATCACTGATTCTGATACCATGTTTTGCCATCTCATCCAGATCTTTGTTGGTGGGTTCTACTGCCTTCTCTGCCAAAATTTCCTCCACATCTTCTTCCCTCATGTCATTGAAACCCTTTCCACTTATTTGTTGTGCGGTACACATTATGTTTTTGACATGTTATGTTTTTTATATTTTCTGTAACACCTTCAAAAGTTTTCACACAATTTGGCCAAACACTTTCCCAGCAGTTATTGATAATAGTCTGTTTGATGTTATCCCAAGCTGTGACAACATAATCAATAACATTGCGGATAGTCACTGATTTCCAGTAATCTAACATGGTGGCTTCTTGGTTGGCAGCAAGTGTCTCACAAGCTTTACTGTACAGCTCTCTCATGTACTGTGCCTTGAAAGCTTTTATTATGCCTTGATTGAGGGGCTGGATGAGAGATGTAGTATTTGGGGGCATGAAAAGAACTTCCACATTGGGGTGGGCATTTTCTAGTTCTTCATGGCAATGAACTGGGGCATTATCCAAAATTAATAAAACCCTAAAGGCAAAGTTTTTGCTCTGGAGATAGCATTCTACTTCTGGGACAAAGCAGTTGTGGAACCAATCCCAGAATATTTCAGATGCCATCCATGCTTTTTGGTTCCATCTCCAGTGGAGTGGCATACAGTTCAAATTCTTCCCTTTAAGTGCACCATTAGGGGCTTGCATTTAAAGTTGCCCTTAGCATTGGTGCATAGCAGCAAGGTTGTATGATCTTTGAGTATTTTAGAATCAGGATCCTGGGAAGTTTTTTGCATCACGTAAGTTCATTTGCCAACAATCTTGTAAAACAAGCCAATCACATCGGCATTGAAAACGTGCTCTTCAACATAACCCTTTTCATGTATAACACTGAACGGTACTTTTTAAATTCTTCTGCGGCTTCCTGGTGTGCAGAACCATCCTCGACTGCAAGTTTAAAGTTTTTCATGCTGTATCGTCTTTTGAAACATGCAAGCCAGCCTGCACTAGCTGAGAATGATTTAACATGTTCCTGACCCTGGGTTACGTGACTGTAAATTTTTTTGGCTTTCAGCCTCACAACAATGCTTTCCACTATACTTTTTTTGTTGATCATCATCTCATGAATCCACAAATTTAGCTGCTTTTCCATGGCTTCGTCACGTACTACAGATGTTACTTTAGCGCTCTCTGGAGCAGCCTCACTCACAGACCTGCAAATATCTTCTTCCTTTTTCTGGATGTATCGTATTGTTGACTCATTAACATTGAACTCACGGCCAACAGCACTATAACTCATGCCCAAACGGAGCTTTCCTAGCACATGAATTTTTTCTGTAAGACACATCACAACTTTCTTACGCTTAGGAATGCTAGGCAGCACTTTAGCACTACTCTTGGAGGCCATTTAAAACAGCAAAATCACCAAACGAAGGTACAAAAATCAAAAAACGTTTCCTAGACTGTGTAAAGGATATTGTTTATAGTGTAAAGGATATTGTTTATAGTTACATATTGTTTATAGAGAACTAACAAGAAAGCAGAGCTTGGCCTTCTTCAAGTCCCACTGGGACATGCACACAAATTGATTAGAGTTTCTCACTGCTCTGCACTTGTCCATAAATGCCTGAGAATGTGCCATGAGTATCTGTTTTGTGATTACATATGTATGGGTGTCTTGCAAAAAAGATGCCGTGATCAGTAAGGCTTTAAAGCATAAAGATACATTAGCATACAGTTCTGTGGGATGAATAGAATAGGAATGACTTAAAGGAGAAAATGATGTTTGCCTTTGAAAGAAGAGTTTTTTTTCATAAATTTCTTAAGATGGAGAATGGGTATCATATCTCTACTGTATTTAAGATTCCATTGGGTATTTTTTTAAAAAGGTATAACCTGAATTTTAAAATGCTGTTATCAGAATGTCGGAAATTATATCCTTTCCAAATATTTAAAATGATGGCAAGAAAATTCAGATATCAACTACACATGTGGTGTATATTCCTAGAAAATTCTTCCAGGGTAGAGAGAAGCACAGTGCATGAGGTGGCGGCTTTGGTTTTGGTGTTCTACTCTTTTCACTTTTACTGACAAAAATAAATCTGTTCAGCGTGGAGGGAAACGTGTTAGCCTTGTCTCTAGGGCTTTTCAAACCTCACTTCCTCTCTTATGGCATCGATGAACACCCTGGTTTTGATTGGTAATTTTAAAAGATCCAGGACTCCTGAGCAGCCCGATGGAGTGAGTGCCGTGATTTCTCCCCACAGGGCAGCGGCTCCACACGCTGCAAGTCTGGACGATGTGTGGGTGTAAATAGCAACGCTCGGTTCTGACGCAGTTCAGAACGGAAAGGATCTGATTTAAAAATGACCCTTGGGTCTAAAAACGAGCCGCCGCCGGGACGTCTCGGGCTCCCCCGCGGTGCTGGTCGCAGGTTTCCCGGCCCGGGTCGGCCGGGCGCCGTCTCCGCTCGGCGCCCCGCAGCGGCCACCGCTCCGCGGGCGTCTCGGCGCCGCCGGGCGGTGGCCTAGGCGGCTGTTGGGGCTAATCGCCCACGAAGCGCACGGCCTGCATTCGGGAAAGAGGACATCGCACTTTAGCCCAACGCGCCTATTACCTTGCTAACCGTTTCAAGTTAGGCAGGAGACTAAAATCGCACTCTCCATGAACCCAGGTGAGAAAGCAGGGGCATCGGGGATGCTCGGCCGCCGCGGCCGTTCTCCCGGCTCCCTCCGGGCGGGCGGCAGGGGAGCAGGCGCTGGGGACCGGCCGAGAGCGGCGGCGCGGCGAGCAAGGACCCGGCGCCGGCCGGAAGAGGCCCCTGCGGCGGCGGGGCGCGGTCTGATGGCGTCACTACCGGCGCCGGCCCACTTCCGGGTGAGGGCAGGGACGGAGATTGGTGCCTCCCGCAGGAAGGAAAGAGGGTGAGCGGAGCGGCGGCCGGGAGGCTCGGGGCCGCGCGGCCCGCCCGCCGCCGCGCTCAGCGCCCGCGCTGTGTGTTGCAGGTCTACCCGGAGCCGCGGAGCGAGAGTGAGTGCCTGAGCAACATCCGCGAGTTCCTGCGTGCCTGCGGGGCCTCCCTGCGCCTGGAGGTGAGCGCGGCGCCGGGCGGGGCGGGGCCGGGCGTCGGGAGAGGCGGGACGCGAGGTCCACGGGGCGCGGGAGGTCGGGGTGGAACCGGGAGGATGGGGGGTGAGGGCTCGTGAGGGTCTGGAATGTGGAGTGTCCCGAGGATCAGGGATGGGGGTCGTGAGGGCCCCAGGCGGGCGCGGGAGGGTCGGGGATGGGCATGGCTCGTGAATGGGGGTGGTGAGGGCCCACGGTGGCCGCGGGGCGGTCGGCGATGGGCGTCGTGAGGGAAGGGGACGGGGGTCTGAAGGGTCGGGGTGCGCGCGGCAGGGCCGACTGCGGGGCCGTGGGGGCCTGGTGTCAGGGCTGGGAGGACCAGGGTGGGGGCGTGAGGGGCGGGCACGGGGACCGTGAGGTCACGCTCGCGGATGAAAGCCAGAGGTCAGCGTCCAGCGATGGGGGTCCATGAGAGTCGGGGTCGGAGACGGGGTTCGTGAATGGCGGGACTCGGGTGGGCCTGGAGGGTCGCCCGTCCGGGTGCTTGTGGGAAGGCCGGGTGCGGGCTTCGTGAGGTTGGGGGCCAGCGACGGTGTCCGGAAGGTCATCGTCGCCCGTGGCGGGGGGGATGCTGCCTGTAGCGCCCAGCTTTGTCCTCCCGCCTGCGGGCGACGTGGAGTTCTGGGCACCTGCCGGGGCTGAGCTCTTGGTTGAGGGATTGTCTAGGACCCACGTCCACGTGTGGCTTGGTTCTCAGCAGTGTCTGGCAAGGCTGGGCTGAAATGAAGCGGACCTCAAACCCTGCTGGCCTCGCTCTTTTCTCTGCCTTTTCTTTCTCAGGCCAGTCATTAAGTGGTTTTACTGGATTCCTGATATTTCATGTTTAAGTTAGACAACTCTCATGGACCTGGGTTTGGGTTTCAAAACGTGATTTGGGGGAGCAAGCCTCTTGCATAAGATCCAGAAATCTAGCTTGGCCTTCCTTGGGAGCAGCAGGTTGATATAATTGCTGTCCTTTTTGCTACTTACCATGCTTAGGTTTGTTTTTTATCTGAGAAATGAGGTAGGTTAACACAAGCTCCCAGATATCAGCACATGTATGAAAACATATCTGATTACCAAACAGATGATTTTCTTTCCTGAAAGTCTCTTATAGTAGGTTTCTGGGGGAAAAAATGTAGAAGCCATGAATTAATTTTCTTAATTGAAATTAGACACATAGGAATTTATGGGGATTAAAGTATTTATTTATTTATTTGGCGCTGAGGATCGAACCCAGTGCCTCAGGCATGGGAGGCAAGCGCTCAACCACTGAGCTACAAACCCCAGCCCCAAAGTACTACTGTTTTTGTTAATGATTGTAAAAAATGTATTTTACCTTTGATGTGGGTAGGAAATATTACAAATAAGTGAAATAAGTGAGAAGTACTTCGGGGAGATCTCAAAAATCCCCATGGCTCTTTAAGAGGGAGAAAGACATTGTTTGAATAGATCTTCCCATTCTTGTATCTGCCTTGTCTTTCATGGTTAAATTTCCTTATTAGGTTGTGATAACATGGTTTGTTAGTGGCAGTTTTTACTTTACTTTGACCTTTGCTGTAACATTTTATTATCCTCTTCAGACTACTGTTTTGTGTGTGTTACCATATTTTAAAACCTGCTTGCTTATTGAGATCATAACTTCAATATGAGACTTAAAGGAAGTTGAATGTTAAACCCTCATTTTAATTTCCCAAAGGTTCCTGTTGATATGTGATGTGGTGCCTGTTTTTAATTTTTATTTTTTTAAATATTTTTTTAGTTGTTGATGGACCTGTATTTTATTTATTTGTATGTGGTGCTGAGAATTGAACTCAGTGCGTCACACATGCTAGGCAAGCGCATTACCATTGAGCCACCACCCCAGCCCTGGTACCTGTTTTTTTTTTTTTTTTTTTTTTAGTTTAGTTTAGTTCTCGGTGGACACAACATCTTTGTTTGTATGTGGTGCTGAGGATCAAACCCAGGCCGCTCGCATGCCAGGCGAGCGCGCTACCGCTTGAGCCACATCCCCAGCCCTGGTACCTGTTTTTAATGTTACAAATGTATATAAAGGGGCTGTAGAAGAATTTGTTAACTGATATGTCCCAGTCACCTGCAGCAATGTTTGGCATAGAATAGGCCTTTGATAGGTATTTGTTATTGATCAAATAAGCTTGACATTGATAGCAATAGCTTTCTTTTTAAATGAAAAAGTCAATCGACTTATTTTGTCTCTTCCAGTCAATTTAAAGTTCAGCAGAGGCAATACTAACATTCTTTCAAATTCAATATATTACGCTTAAAACTCCTAGTTACCTGAGATAATAAAAGCAAAAACAGTAAAAAGCACATGAAAAATTGTGTAATTGCGATGATGTTTTGGAAGTTCTCAAAGAAGGAACTCTGTCTAGCTCCAACTTGGGCTTCCCATTCTTGAGGAGATAGGCATGTTCTAAGAGGTCCTGTCTCCCATACAGAGCAGTACTTAGGAGAGCAGGGCTCTATGATCTTGACATGTGTTCTAGGATTTACACTTTCCATTTCTACCAAATTTTGAAGGGTGAGAGACTGAAAACATATACAAAATAAAGTATATATACTTTTTGTCCTAATTAATATCAGGGTCCTTTTCAGGAGTTATTTTAGTCTGAATTGTAATTGGACTATTTTTTGTATGTATATTTTCTAGTTTATTGCCAATTTAAACTTGCCTAATAATTTCTTGAAAAGAGAATTTCACTGAAAGTGATTGTTGCTAGATCAGTTTCTTTAATGCATAAACATGTTAATTAGCTGAAAAATATCAGATGTCCTCCAATGGGTTGTTCTGATTATGAAAGGAGTTTTATAATTTAAAGGAATATTGTGCAGTTTGCATTTATTGTTAAACTCGGAGAAGTAGTGTACATTTTAAGATGAAAAAATTTTGTATTTGTATTTTTTTTTTAAATTTTAAAGTTGGGCAATTCTGTGCTAGAAAGCAATGCATACAACTTAGTTGACCTCATTATTTTCTTATAACTTTTTATTTGCTACTTAGCTTGTCTTTTTTGAAACTTAACTGGACACAGCAATGCCAGTTTCCTTCCATTTGTATTTTAAAAAAACAACCAAAATGATGATGATGAGTTAGAGTTTATGAAGTGACTAAGGCCAGTCAAGCAAATCGTAGATCATTTCTTCACATCAAGAGAAATCTGGAGTAGAATCTGTTTTCCAAGGTTTTGCTGTGTTACTTCCTGGACTCTTACTCAGTGTTGCAGCCATGAGGCTGTGTGTGCTTCAAATGATCACAGAGCATTCGCCGCTACCGTTTTCTCGTGATATAGTGTTCTGTAGTTAAGCATCTGTAATTTACTGAGGCAGGTGAGCTGTAACTGTCAGAAGCAGAGGCTGCCTTCCCAGGAAAGCTGAATTTGGTTAAAACAGCATATGTGTAGCATGTTTGTCTGTTTTTCATTCCAAGACCCAAAGTTAAGAACATATGATTCCATTTGATTATATGGTGGATTATTAACTTATGCCCAAACCAGTGTAATCTCAAGGATATTATCAGCAAAGTATTATGTAATATAATATAGCTGTTATATTATATATTATTTTGGTTGTTGAAGAAAAATGTCTGCTTTTCTCACTAGTTATATTCATACATTCAGAGATAGTGTAATACCGTTTTTTACTTATTGATTTTGAAAAGTTGACAGGAAAGATGGATGTTCGCATTGTTATAAATGCAGTATTTCAGTTTATTGACTTTTCAAGCTACTCAAAAGTTCAAATTGTAGTTACGAAGTGAGAGCTGAACTTGACTTGTACTGACTCCCTCACCCCTCCAGTTTTCTTGGCACTGTTCTCTGCCCAGCTGGGTTAGGCCATCCTGAAAGGCAAGAGGTGATTGGTTGCCTCAGCAAGGGGACTCTTGGCAGATAATTTAATGTTGCCCAAGCTTTTCTGCTTAAGAACTGATTATGGATTCCCATACAATGTTACCACGATTGCTTTGGAAAAGAAAATACTTCAGGTAAAACTTAGGGTTGTCAAGAAGAAATATAGGGAATCTGTCAAATGCAAGTGGGCCTTTTCTGGAATTGGCGTGTTTGACCTGGTAGGATGCTAACCCTCTCTCATTGACCTCTCCACCTACTTGGCACACTACCTAATACTCAAGTTACCTGTTGCTTTAGGATTTTTTTAAACTATATTTTTAGTTCTAGATGGACACAATATCTTTATTTATTTATTTTTATGTGGTACTGAATCCAGTGCCTCACCCATGCGAGGCAGGTGCTCTACCGCTGAGCTACAGCCCAGCCCTGGGATTTTTTTTTTTTTTTTTAATCAATTTAACTGTTCTTGTAGATCAGTGGAAGTAATTCAAAGTTACAGATGGTTTAGAATAAATTTGTTCTTTTCTCACCCTTATTCTTGGGAAATTTTGCTTAGTTTTTTGATCTTAGATTAGTATGAAATGTAGACCAGCTATTATATAAAGTTTGCTTTACAACTAGCTTCTTACTATTAAAAAAAATGTATACATACACATATATTTTATTTTTTAAATTTATATATGGCTACGTGTATTTATGAGTACAGTGTGATGTTGTATGTGAATGCATGTAGAATAATTAAATTAAGTTAATCATATATTCATTGTCATATACTTATTTCTTTGTGGTGAGAATGTTTAAAATTTCTTTTAGCAGTCCTGACATATAGCAGTAATGCATATTTATTAACTGTAGTCATCATATTGTGCAGTAGTAGGTCACTAGAACTTATTCCTCCTCACTGAAACTTTGTACTCTTTGACCAGCATCTCCTCTTTCACCTAGCCTTTAACAGCCCCTAGTAACTGCCAGTTCTTCTCCTGAGTTAGACTCTTTTAGGTTTTACATGTAAGTGATATCATGCAGTGTCTTTCTGTGCCTGGCTTATTTGCTTAGTATGATGTCCTTTAGGTTCATCCATGTAGTTGCAAATGGCAGAATTTCCTCCTTTTTTGAGA